AAAGAATCCCGAGTAAGACGAAACATGAGTCTTTGATTCCACTGCTAGTCACTACTCATCTCTGCCTAAAACACTTGTGACTTAAAGCTATATCGAAGCGATCCGTACAGGATGCACATATAACAACATGAGACTGATTAATTACAGTACTAAATAAAAATGGGAAGATAGAAGTAAACCAACACCATGTGATTTTATGTCTTTGCTAAGATAATAAATATATTCTCTGTAAACATATAAATCTATTTTCAAAAATCAAAATGAACACAATAAACTGTCAATTATAAATTGTTCAATCAAAATAGATTCAAGTGACAATTTAAATCTATCCATCTATCAACAAAACAAGACATTAAATTATAAATAATGACTCTCTATATAAATGACTATAAATAAGATACCATTAAGCTAATTGTGATTAATTGCAAATTACTATTCAATATAACAGTCTTTATACAAACGTCACGGACAAAAAAAACCCATTTCACTGCTTCCTACTAAGACTTTAAGCAGTTCATTTCAAAACTCATCACCAGTAACTACATTATTATTAGAAATTAAAAAGGTTACTAAATCATTCTTCGATTAATAACATTTTGTTTATATGACTACCTTTGAATCATACAAAACTTGAGTAATTTAAGTAAAACCTTAAAGAAAAGAAAACAACAAAACAGCGGGATTGTATCTTTTTAAGGTTTCACATCAGCTACAAACAGCTTAAATTTACGTAAAGCATTATATTACAGTATTTTATTAGTATTATTATTACATCATCATAATCAATGAAGTTGATCTGGAAACGATATATATTGAGATGGTGGAGAAGATTTGTAACTCAGGTGGATGATTTTAATGGAGTATTTTTCTCTGAGCTAGATGGTTTGGTCAAGAAATTATGCACAAACATAGGAGCAAAAATCAAGCCAATGAGAGATACAATCAAAACAAAGAAATAAACAATGACAGGTTTAAGGTCAACAAGAACCAATCAATATCGAGGTCTACAGGACAAGCTGTGAACGACATGTAGAAAAATTTGAACATTTCACTTCTATCTGAAGTTTGTGCTGATGATGTCGCTCAGACAAATAATGAAAGCTCCACGACTAAACCATCCAGTTCAGAGAACAAAACTCTATCGGAAACGATCTATATATTCTTTAAAATTCTGTTTACAACTTAAGTAGTTTAATGAAACATGTTTAGTTACATTCATTATTTTCATTTATTTCAATTATTTATTGCCAGAATGTTTTTTGGAAACTATTGTATTTACCAACAGCTATAAAGATTTTCATTATGTTTTTTTCTTTCGAAAATTGTATTAAAATCAACGTTCAGTCATCCGTAGAACAAAAAATATGACATCACAAGTTTGCTTAGTTCCCTCATTTTAATGACCATATTTCTTTGAAAAGAAAAAAATGTCTAGACAGAAAAATATACGTGAATTTTGTTTTTTAACCTTATTGCGTAATAAAAAAACTATCATCTAGTTCATGTTAATATTTAGTGAGCTTGGATTGGTTGAAGTTAGACATTAACACCGTTGGATTCTGGCCGCCTCAATGGTCTAAAGGTTAAGTGTTCGCAAGTGAGACTGATAGGTTCTGGATTCAAATCTCGCGTGGCGGGATCATGGATGCGCACTGCTAACGAATCCCACAATAGGACGAAATGGCTGTCCACTGCTTCTACGTTTTTCATGGTGGTCTAGCTTCAATTGGCTCATGATCTGAACTATTGACATTTCTAGATAATTTTCGTATATGATTTTAGTATTTGTTTTTTTTAATGCTCAGGTCATAAACACGTAAAATCACTAATCATAAAATATATCCATACGCCTACACACGAACTACCATACTCCCTCATAAATTACAGATGTAGATACAGTGAAAAGTTCATGATTACGTTTCATTTTATGCATAACAAACAGATAGAAGGAATACTTCCCTGTTTTTAACTAATCATATGTAATTATCTTGCTTCTTTTGCTAAAAATGAACTAATTATATTAATGTTTTTACCTAATTTAGATTACTGAAATGACATACATAGATATATATGTATATGTTAATGTTCGTGACAAATACTATGCTTAGTTAACCTTATTTTATAGTTGATTAAAGAAAATAATAATAATTTTGATGGAGTTTTGTTCTCTGAGCTAGATGGTTTTGCTCAGAGAATAAAACTTCATCGAAATCATTCACCTGAGCTACAAATCTTCTCCACCATCTCACTAATAATAATAATAATCTAATCATAAAATCAATGAAATTTCGATCTCGTTTTCTACAACAGTAATGTAATTTATTATTTTTGGATAAATTCTCTTCAGTTTCTATTGTTCAATATCCAAATACATAATCTGCAAAAAAATGGTCAGTTACAAACTATAAAATGTGATTTCACGATTGTGTGTGTAAAATCAAATCTGGTTGTCTGTACATTGAAATGACTAATAGACGATGTTAACTTGAATAAGTTTATACATTGAATAAAATTGTGAGGTTATTAGTCAGAATGACTATAGGAAACGTGGAGTAGGAGAAATTATAATGTAGTTAGTAATTATTAGGAGGGTGTTTTGTGGAGATTTTATTACTACAATAGTTGGATTCACGAGTCAATTAATGTTAGACCATCATGGAAAACCAGGAAACACTGGACAGCCGCTTCGTCCAACTACGGGACTCCTCAGCAGTAGTTAGAAATTAACATAAATATTTGGTCAATGATCACGTAATATATAGAGTAATATAGATTTCGTAAGAAAGATTAAGTACGGGTGGGTGCTAAATATACTTCTCAAAAGTTTGCAAGAGTTATGATCATGGTAACAATAACAGGATATATGGATAAGAATATTTTAAGCTATGGAAATGGAAGATGGAAGGTTGTATTTACTTTAATAAAATTATACGTTCGAATCTACAAAATAATTGACAACTAATTTAGTTGGAGTAATTTGATCAAGGTCAAAGAAGCGAATAAACATGTTTCTTCTGAACACAAGGCTTCGATGTTCTGATCAGAATGGCTGTTGAATCAGGCGTTTAAAAGATTCGTTATCTGACGTTGTTAAACGCATAACTATTAAAATGATTCATTATTGTAAATAGCTGTTCAAAGTTAGCTGTATGAACCGTTTGTATCAAGTGAGCAAGGATTGATCTGTTAACAGTTTTAGCATCGACCCCTATTCATAATTACTTAACTGATTTATATCATTTTAAATATCATGTAATCGCTGACCAAACATTTATTTTATGACTAAACTGTCACCTCCATCACCCGACGTTTCTCGTACGTCGTGAAATTGCTAATCAGAATAATAAGTTCATTAATTCTTAAGTCATGCATACAATAAGCTGTAAATATGGAATCAGAATTATTCTGATATCATAGTAATGGGAATGCAAATATGCATATAAAAGTATACACGTATTTAAGTAAAAATACAAATGAAATGCAATTTCTCATTAGGATTCGTCCTCGTTATTTTTAATTGAAGAATGAATAGAATAAAAATGAATCTGTTAGTTGTTAAATAACTGTCAAACACGTGCTTAGTAGTCACTGATTTGTAGAAGATGAAAGTCACATTAACGAAATACTATAATTTTATATAGGCATAACCTAAGAACTATTAAGGTGAGTTCGCAAACTGTATTTGACTTAAACAACAATGTCAATGATCCTTAGTATGATCTTCGATAAGTTATATTTCAATAAATGGAGTTAAAATTAATTCAAGAAAAACGTAAGAACCTCAAGAAATATTTTTTGTTTCTCTCATCCTACTGTCTAACATTGGAATTAATGCTTGATATCTACTGAGGTCAATATTTGTGACTCCCTTGATTAGTTAACATTCTGTTGATGATTACATATTGTCTGGAGCCAAGATTTATTGATAAGGATATTTTTTAAACATCTAGTTAACATCATTGCAATCTGTGACTATAGAAATACTGGTAGATATTGAGCTGACTTTTGTAAATTCCCCGTTTGTTGACATACGTTATACAAAATTAACGAGGATGTTACTTAAATCGTTTCATCAATCAAAATTTTGCAAACTAAAACAATTCGATACCTCCGATGAAATATTATGGTTATTTTCTTAGTGTTTAAAATATTCATAGTCGACTAATTAAGCCACAATGTTGAAGACTTTTCCATCTACTTCCGCTTAGTTACCTAAGTAATACCGTTGGCCTCACCTTCAGGAAAGTACGGTACATTACATTAATGTAACTGAGAACAATTGTATGGACACCAAATGAGTGACGAAAAATTATGGAAACACCTCAATGGGATAAAACGATACAGACTGATAAACACAGTAACCATCACAGATCATTAGATTTATGATAAGAAATAATCATTCATTTTATGACTAAACTGTCACCTCTACTACCCCACGATTGTCATATTAATTCTGGTTATTAATCTCAAAATTTTACTTAACATTTAAACTTATACAAGCTAACATCACATATTAGTCATTTCATTATATAAACTACTAGATATTATTTTACAAACAATCATAAACGCATCCTGTTTAATTATAAACGATGTATTTGCCTTAAATCCGACAATTTTATGGATTACTAATTTGGATAAATAGTTGCAGAACTAGGAGAGAATTTATTGAAAAGAATATTCTTCGTTCATATATCTGTGTTTATAAAACTTTTCAGTGATTAAAACGCAATATGTTAAAAACTCTTTCTTAAGAGATATAATTCTTGATTACAATTAGCAAACAAAAAAAAGTTAAATTAGTCGGTAAATAAGAAAAACTCGTATGGCAGCCAATGTATACGTTTTATATTATTTCATAAGTTGATGGGGAAAATTTTGCTACCTTATATCTGTCACTGACCTAACAGCTGATCCTAAACTGGATTCTGATTGGCTAATAACACATTGGCCAATCAAAACTTGTTTATACTATGAAATTTATAGCACGATAGTTTTATTTTATTCAGATCATTTTCTAACCTTAAAACAGTTGACTAAGTTTGAATTAAACAGAAAAAGGAAATTTCCCTTATTTAACCTTATTTACACCAATTATGAATGTGGAGTATTTTCTTTAGAGAACAACTATACTTTCCACGGTATCATTCATCGATTTTTTTGGATAAATATATACATATTTATTAAATATATACACGTAAATAGTTATCGAAAGACAGTGAAATTCATTTCTTTATGGCTGATAACTTGGATCAGAAAGAAGTCACATCGAATTCAGAGAATATAAATACACAATTAAACATATCATATGAATTAAATACGTTAAAACAGGGTGATTTCCAGAGAACTGATCATTATTCTTTTGATAAGGATGTTATGAAAGATAATAACGTAGCTCTAGTAGAAAATGTTATGTCAAGAAGTGGAGAAGTTGAAACACATATTGATGTTAACTATGGAGATGAAATGGATTTTGGAGATGATCCTGATCCAAACGATGGTAATAATGAAGACGATGATAACGATGATAGTGATAGTTCCAGTTCAGGTTCTAGTGTAGCCAGGCTAGTGCAAACCGCGCGTAATTTAGTTCAAGTAGAAAAAGCCGAACAAATTGCTCAAGAGACAAGTGAACATCTAACCCTAGCTGATAGTCAGTTAACTGATGAAGAAGATCAAACTCATTCAGTGGAATTAAGTAAAAGTGATACTGATACAGACCAGTCTCTTAATGTTTTTAACAAACCAACGATCAATTCATTACCAGTTCTTATTGATCCAAATGGTGCAATTAAATCTATGCGAATCAGTGCAAAAGCTGCCGCTACACTTGGTATCGACTTATCAGAAAAAACCGAAGGACTATTGACTGTACCATACCAAGTTGAGACGGGTCAACGATTTAAAAATAAACATAAGGATTACTTTAAAAAGAAAATTGATAAAGTGAGTATTAAATGATTATTGATTTTGTACAGATTACTACTTTTTACACTATTTAACGTTTGTAGGTTGGAAGTGCTGATTACACTGCTTTACAGATATGTTGTGGATTTATAATGATAAAATTTCACTGATTTATTAGTACAGATAATAATTTACTAGAGGGATAGAATTGGAAATTTTAATATTTCGCCGACATGTATACAAGCTCAACAAGTACACTGGGATTGAAATCTCTTGTTTTGAAACAGGATTCAGTTATCATTTCATTGTTTAAATCATAGACAAAACTACCAAACGGTAACCATCAAGGATGAATGCCAATGACATTATTCTGCATGGAGATCCAGATCCATAACCCTTATGGTAAAAATATTACCTTTAGAACCATAAAGAGTGGGTCTAAAAGGGTCATAATTTCGATTTGTGTTGGTTCATTTATTCTTATACCTATTTTTTTTTATTTATATCAACATCAGAAAGTTTCCAAAGAAAATAAAGGTCGAATTTATTTGTTTTTGAATGTTTGTTTCTTATTAGTCGAAACATTGACACCATTTTTGGTTTGTTAGTATAATTTAAGTAAGATCTGTTTTGTTTATTTACTATTATTTTAAATATTCCTATGTTAAGCTAAGAGTAATTCCTCTCAAAAAGCAAAATTATTACTTGTGTTTAGATATACACAACAGTTATCTTATATGGTTCATCTGATCACTATTTTGACAGATAATTCCCATTTAAACATTAAAATTAAAACACGAAATTCAACGAAGGGATCTGTTTTCAACTTGATAATAAATTCGTCGAAAAGAGATTCCTTCGCTGATCACTATTTCCCTTAAAACTACAATTTTTCAAATTCAAACTAATTTTATATGTAAATACATTTAAACAGAGATTTACTTTCATTATTAATTTTGCTTTGAAGTACAATAGTAACATGCATCATTTAGGTTGACTTTTATCAAACTACAGTTCTAATGTACCATAATCCTATCTTATATGATAGAAATACACAGCTGTTTAAATACTCACTTAAAACTAATAATACTTCAAATAACTAATTATTTGGAATAAAAGGTCAAAGCCAAGCCAAAGATTAGCACTAATAATATTTGTTATAGTATATTTGACGAAAGAACAAGGTAGAGATGATACTGGCAATGTGACATTTTCACACTACTGACTATTATTTCTTGTATTGTTTTATGGCTAATACACTTATAATCTTGCCAATATGAGTCAATAGTTTAACGGCATATGTATCCAGTTTTCAGTATAGACAGTTGATAGAGGTTGTTCAGTGCTAGTGAGATCACGACTCAATATAAGTTAAACAACCGCTGAAAATCAGAAGGTATTAGATAGGTGATTTGTTCTAGTATGGGAATATACAGCAATACATAACATGATTTCTAATAGCTACCCTAACTAGGTTCAATTCAGTTTTATTTAGGGATAATAAAGTAACGCACAAAAATACTTACGAAAGGAAATACAATAAACTGATATACTCATGGAACTTTAAGAGTATGTCATAGGTCATAAAATATAATACAACGAATCAGATAAACATGACTTATTCGTATAACTTTTTACTTGTAATATGAAACGATTGTCTTTTTAAGACACATCAGATCGCAATTTTTCTCATCTATAAAATTTGACAAACGAAAAACACTAACCATGGAAGTATAATACATTCAACCGTTTACATAGATGAAATTGTATGGGAATTAACTGCAGTTGAAAGGCATGATCACGTTTATCAGCTAACATTTATAATTATATAATGAAATACTCGAATGAACCGTCTCTATAAAAAGATTCAAACTAGATTTATGTATCCAATAAGGTATAACTATCAATTTTGCTTTGCTTTAGTGACCTCTTTTCATGAGTTTGTTTCGTAGATTCTTTTCTATGGCCCTTAGTCTAGTTTCTTATGTCACTGATTTTGCTCTGGCCTTTACTCACTAATTCAATGTTGTTTTCCCTTATTACATAAATTGTCCATTTCTAAATATTCCCTTTCCATTCTCTGCTCAGTTTTTCAGTATTTTTTTAGCTCAGATTTAATGTATAAATGAACAATATTTTTTCTAGTACTTCCATAATTGTTGCGTTTTGCTATCTGTAATTGTCGAACCTAACTTCATCGAAGACGTTTCTCATATAAAGTATGTTAACTTATCCCGTTTCTTTTTCTAAGGAATAATGGTTTCTTTTTGTAAGTTCTAAACAACTGTAGAGACTCAATGAACTGAATGATTCCATATTTTGTTGCAATTATTGTTCCTACTTTACTCAAATAACATGTCAATCACTGTTGAATAGAGAAATGTACTAGTGCTCAGAGGAATGACATCTTATATCGCATGCACACTTACTTACTAACTTACGCCTGTTACTCCTAATGGAGCATAGGTCGCCGACCAGCATTCTCCAACGCACTCTGTCATGAACATTCCTTTCCATTTCTGTCCAACTTTTGTTCATTTTTCTGATGTCGGTCTCCTTTTCTCGACGTAATGTGTTCTTTGGTATTCCTCTTCTCCTTCGGCCTTCAGGATTCCATGTGAGGGCTTGTCTTATGACGCAGTTGGATGCTTCCCTCAATGTGTGCCCTATCGAATTCCAGTGCTTCTTCTTGATTTCTTCCTCCACTGGGATCTTGTTTGTTCTCTCCCACATTAGGTTGTTGCTGGCCAACGGATCCAAAGTATGCACACACAGTGGATTGATCAGTTGGTTATTTTGATAAATTTTTATTTTAATAATTATAGTCATTATGGAACTTTTCTGATTATCTAAACATGGTTATAAATTCTTTTACAGTAGTCACAGGTAGATTTTGAATCATTCTGACAGTGATAACACAACATCTCTAGAAAACTAAGTTTTTTAAGAGTCAATGGTCATCAGATATGTATGAATTAAATAGTTTAGTGGAGAATAGTCAAATTGAAAACAAAAAAATTTGGCTTTTGATGGTGATTACTCATAAGTTTTATTAATCAGTGTTGTACTGAGTATTAATTCTGGATTGTTCCAGAGATATTCTTTCCTACTTTAGTGATTGAAGGTAAACAGAAAAAAAACTGAACCTTGGGATATTCTAGATCAAGTTATTCTGTAAGATTAAAAAAGTTGGTTTTTAGTGAAAATGAACTCACAACAGAATTTTCTAATTTGTTTTCTTCCGGTCATATTTTCATATTTTTTATGATCCGGATCAAAAAATTATATTTATATTTGATAAGAACGGCTTGTAACGCTAAGTGTTCCCTGGTCTTCTCTTTTTGCTGTAATAGTAATGAAGTCTGTTTCTATATCACTGGTTTCAAATAATGAATCGACAACGCATATTCAAAACCTTTACCTGAGTCTTTGCCAGTAGTTGAACAGATTGAAAAAAAAACATTATTATTAAATAATAAATAACAAATCCACGTGTTTTGTAAAAGATTCTACTGCCATAATTTTATGAGTCATTAGTCCAAGTAAAAAAACGGAATCAAAGTTTCAGATTTCTTAATTGTGAACTGTCGACACTTAGTGAAGGAATTAGTGAATGCTGTTTTACGTTTATTCGTTTCAATTAACTCCAGATAATTACTATAGTCTTTTTGGTTTTTATAAAACATACTTATTAGAATATCATTGAAAAGTGTTTGTTATGGTGTATGCATATGACTTACCGAAGTGTTCGTTATCAGTTTTATGTGACAGGAAGCTCTACATCTAAGTTTCGAGGTATTAGCATTTTATGACTATGGCATTGGGTAACACACCTTCCAGTTTCTTGGATATACATTACTTATCAAATTAACGCTCAGCTAATAGCTATGGAAAGCCATTTATTTGTAAATTAAAAGTGTTAACAGTATATCTATGATTCCTAAAGCACAGAAATCTGAATTCGTTCCGCGACTCAAATATTTTCCAGATATATCGAGTTAAATTACTTCATTCAGTGAGTGATCAGTCTTGCCGCTCAATAAATGCTCTTTAAAGTAACACAAATTATGTGTTCCATAGTTTACTTCACAGACGGATCTCGAATAAATAGTCCTTAATAATTTGGAACTGCTGGACATATGATTCGTCCTAGAACAGGACTCTTCGGCAGTGATCATCTGCGACCCCAGCAGAAATAAAATACAAGATCTTCACGTTTTCAACTGAGTTCTTAAACGTTAGACTCTTAATCCCATACTATATTAATTTAATGATTACATTTCATTTAACTTACATAATCTTAACTTAAGCAGTAAATTATTCTCATTATTGAAATAATTCACTCTTTTGAAAATATTTAGTTAAATTAAATTAATAAAACACATGTACAACCATATGAGCTGATATATTTATAGCTATGAAGGCATACATACGACAATCAATAACTGTTTATTCCCAAAATTGAACATTGAACTGTATTAGTTGATGTTGTTTCAGGAAGCTAAAGTTGAAAGGAACCTTGATTAAGTGCATATTATTCCAAGGGAAGAGAGAAAAACACATGAAAAAGCATACATGTGTAACTAATGGAAACGGAAGTTCAACAGAAAAACAAAAAAATATATATATATGAAATACAAGTATAAGAATGATTAGCAGAAAAACACAGGAAATCAATATTGTTGACCTTAAGTGACCACATTATTATTATGATTATTACATGCTGTTTTTTTTACCTATCAAACCCGAGGTCTTGATCACAGTGACAAAAATGTTTTTCTTCTTGGTGATTTGATCTAGTATTATTATTGCGTTTTTTTCCTAAATGTATCTTAATTACATTTTGGAGAATAAATTTTCTTATTGTTCAACTGTATAAATTCAATGAATTGAATGGGACTAGATGAATAATTTGTGTTTATCTGGTGAACTGCTAGATTATTATAGATTTCAGTAAAATATATTTTTATTATACTCAATTCAAAGGGTAAATCATGTGCATTAATCCGTTATTATTAAAGTATGTCATACTGGCAGCA